GCTGAATGGGGGTGAATGGACAAATAGGAAACAGTCTGGCTCACAATTATGACCCTCTTATGTGGTAGTGTGGGTGTGAGCTCACTATCATGAGAGTGTGAGCTCACAGCACACTAGCTCCCCTGCACTGAATGCCTGTGTGAATGCTCTCACCTCCCTGGTGAACGAGGTGGTCACCCTTTAATGAACTGGCTTGTTCTTGTCACCATTGTCCCCTAGTGTCGGTTCTTTTGTCTTCCCCATGTTTACCCCAGTCCATTTGCATAAAGAATCGGATCCCGTCATAAGGGGCCACGTCAACTTCTCTCTGATATGCGAGCACTCTTTTTTTGCGGGTCTCTTTAAAGGAAAAATGAAGCAAATGGCTCTTTTGCAAGCTTCAGCGGGGGCAAAGTTTAAGTAGGTGCTTTCATAGGAGACTGAGTTAGTAAGTTGTCATTGGCAGCCCCTCCATACAAGGATGAGAGTTTTCCAGTAACTGGGAAGACTTGATGGCAATCCAGTGCTGTCGGCCCTGCTGCCTTTATCTGGGAACTGAAGCTGTTTGTGGCTCCAGCTGGAGTTGTGGGGATACAGCAAGAAGCTGCTCTGAATTTCTCAAGACTGAGTTAACTAACCACTCTCCTCCTAACCTTCTGCCTCTCTCCCCTCAGTGGAGAACAAAGAAACTCTGCAGCATCTGGCATCTCTGTATGCCAGCAACCATCCCTCAATGCATCTGGGTCAGCCGGGCTGCCCAAATAAGTCAGGTACGTGCATGTGAGGCCTGGGCAGAGCTTTTTTGCACCAGTCTGCTCCTTGCAGTTGCACCTCATTCGTGTCTGTCTTTGCAGATGAGAACATTCCCGGGGGTGTGATTCGTGGGGCAGAATGGCACAGTCACCTGGGCAGCATGAAGGTATTATTGCATAGTGAGACTCCGAAGCCATGCAGAGGCTGCTTAAAGCTCCTGTAAAAGGAGCAAATGGTTACCTCCTTGTCTGTGAGTTTCCTGTACATACCCCACCGTGTGTCACACCCCTCTCCTCTGGCTTTTTAGGATTTCAGCGTGACGTTTGGTCACTGCCCTGAGATCACAGTTTATACCAGCTGCTGCTACTTCCCCAGCGCCGGACAGCTTCCATCCTTGTGGGCAGAGAACAAGAAATCTCTTCTTAGCATGCTTGTTGAGGTGAGAGGGGTAATTTAAGGAGAACTTCCATTGCAGATGTGTGTGGGCATATTTATTTGGAGGCTGGACATATGTTTGGCTGGGGTGATATGACCCCAGCACCTGTTCCTGCCCGGGACAGGGGGTCAGACCTGATGATCTGTTTAGGTCCCTAAGCACTATGATACTATACCCCCCGTGTCTTTCCTTTGCTGCAGAAGTACCTACTGCCCTGGGCAGATTGCAGAGTAAGAGTTGATGTAGGAAGTAAGTGCAGTGTACCAGCAGGATTGTGACCTGATCTCAAGCTGTGGTTTGCCTTTGAGTAGAGGCTGTTCCTCCTTGAGTTGTGCACTGTGACTTGTTAGGTGTGCCAGGAGCAGACGGGGGTTCTCTCCCAAGGCCTGATATGCTGACATTAGGATTTTTGTCCTCTCGCCGTGGCGGGACAATAAATGCTTGGAGTGCTTGATTTCAGGTTCACAAGGGAGTTCACGGCTTTGTCCGTGACAAGAGCGGGAAGCCGGTGTCCAAAGCGATCATTGTGCTCAACGAAGGTGTGAAGCTCTACACGAAGGAGGGTGGCTATTTCCATGTGCTGCTGGCCCCAGGTTCCCATAACATCAATGCTATCGCGGAAGGGTACCAACAGCAGCACGTACAGGTAAGCACTTGCCTGGGTCGAAGAAGCTCTGCTCCCCTGTTGTGTGAAGCGCTCGTGGGCAGACTAGCTTCCAGGAGCCTGGGTCTGTCTGCACCAAGCCTTTGGCTCCTCAGGTGCATCTCAGCTCATTACCTGCTGAGCAGTTGTGCTTTTCATCCAAGCCTAGATCTGGTTAGACTTCCCACCTCAAGTGATGGGTGGAAGATCACTTCCCACCACACCTTCAGGGTATATTTCTGTGGTGTGATTTCCCTCCATGTCCCCCTGTCATTGGTATCCACGTGCTTTTGTCCTGGTCACCAGCGAGTGGTTTAACTCCTACTTGGACACAGACAGAAGCACAAGAGCTCTCACACTGCTGTGGCCTGTGTCTTTCCAGGTGTTGGTGCGCCATGATGTACCCAGCTCCGTGTTCATTGTGTTTGACATGGATAACAGAATATTTGGCCTCCCGAGGGAGCTCGTCGTAACTGTAGCAGGTAAAGTGAGATGTTCTTTTCTGGACTTTGGGCCTGAGCATATTCGGGAGGTAAGGCCCAGCTCTCCTCCCAGAAACACTCTTCTCCCCTCACCCTAAAGGCATTCTAAGGCCTTGGGCCATGCTCCTGTCCTTTATTCTAAGTACATGTGATGTATTCATGCTGGATTATTGCACGACTGCTGGCTTATTGCACGACAGTTTGATCTGCTAATACTGCATCTGCAGCCAAGAAGCAGGTGCCCCTGAAGACTTCTGCAGGAATTGTCAGGCTTTCCTTGAACCAGCGACTAAGCTGGAAGGTGATGAGACATGTGGGTGGGAAGAGCAGCTTCTGAGTTAGGCTGGCATTCCCCATGCCAGGTCTCCTTCAATGCTGCATGCACCGAGTGGGTGTTAAGGGGTCAGGGATGTCGGCGCCATCTCCTGTACAGATCAAGGTTCCTGTCTTGAGAGGTGCCTGGTAAACCGGTTCTTAGATACACAAATCCTGAATCTAAAGCTACTGCATAGCTGGATCTTTGCTCAGGGAGGACCTCGGGAACAGCTGGGTGAGGAAAGCAGCTACAGTTCTCTGCTCTTGGGCAACAGCTTGCGCTGTATGTGATTGGAGTGGCCTGGAAGCCTTCAGTGGGGGGAGGGACGTGTGCTGCATAGCGCTGATGTGGGTGTCTTCTGTTTTTTGGCAGGTGCCACCATGTCGGCTCTGGTCCTCACAGCCTGCATCATATGGTGCGTCTGTTCCATCAAGTCCAACAGGCACAAGGACGGCTTCCACCGCCTACGGCAGCACCATGATGACTACGAGGATGAGATTCGCATGATGTCTACTGGCTCAAAGAAATCCCTCCTGAGCCACGAATTCCAGGATGAAACAGACACTGAAGAGGAAACACTGTACTCTAGCAAACACTGATACCGGCCGAGAGGGAAGGAGACTCGCTATGGACAGACCTGGCAGTGGGGGCAACTCTTGTCATTCAGAGACCTGAGCTGTTAGCTGGCAGAACGTGTAATCTCCAGAGACTTGTGGGGCTGTTTGCAACCTCCTGTGTGCCTCTGTTCCCTTCCTACTCATGCACACGTCAGTGGGTGCCAGGCCCTGTCCTGCCTGTGACACTGCTGGGTTTTAGGTTCAGGTTTGGCGTTCCACGTAACAAAAGCACTTGAGAAGTAATTTACCAGTGTGTGTGGTGGCATCAGGACTTCTGAACAGCTCCCTTGCCTGGTGGGGAGATGCACTGGTGCCTGGCGGGTTCTGTAGTTGCAAAGCTTCAAAGCTGTTTTTCTACTTATCTTGGTTTTTCACTCTGTGTACTGTATCTTGGGAAGCCTGGTGCAGACTTGGATCTCACCGGAGCTGCTGGTGAGGGATGTGTGGCTGCGGCCTGGATTTGGCTTTGGCTGCTTCACCCTTTCCCACTGGCCTGCTCTGCTTTCCATGGAACGCCGTGGGGGTGGGGGGGGGTAGGAGAGAGCCCAACTGCAAACTACTATGAGATCACGCCTGTGCTGGAAACCGAGGGCGATTAAGCTGGGGTCCGGACATGAGCTCTGTGTGAAGGGGGGAGAAAACATAGTGGAAGCTAATGCTGGAGCTGCAGGGAGGTAGCTGTGCAGCTCTGCCATTCTCTAGTCAATCCCACCTCTCCTCCCCACACTCCAGTCTTTCATTTGAGTCCCATCATGCAGCTAGCTTGTTACTTTCCACCGGCCTTCACAGCCTTGTTAGCAATGTGCTAGTCGCCTGCTGCGGGAGTAACTGGGAGCCTCTCTCCATGCAGGTGGGCATGGCAGGCTGCTGTGAATCCGAGTCAGCTTTATTCCAGTCGGCCACTGCGAGGCATACCCTTGGCCTGGTTCCCCCCCGCCCCCCGGGAGACAGAACTCATGTCCTGCTGCAGTGGAGATCTTGGCATGACTCGCCCTCAGCCTCCAGCGCCTGCAATGTGTAGGCCTCTTTCCTGTGCCCGTCCAACGCAGAACACCCAGCACAGGCATCTCTGCTTCTACCCTGAGCCCTGATGTTTCTAGGCATACAGCCAGTGTGAGGGGCAGCACACAAGGAGGTTTTCCTAACTACTCCTTGCTGCGCTGTGAAGGGATGGGGGGGGGTTGAAGAGGGGCCAAACATGGGCTAGTGACTTGTGTGGGGCAAACCAGCTTTGTTCTTGACTGCACCTCACATGTGGTTTCAACAGGAGCTGCTCTCTGCAAGCAACGCTTCTGCTTCTCAGTATGGCTGGGTCTGCTCTTTGCCACGGGTTAGACGGTGTGCCTAGACCAGCTGGCCCCCTCCCCAGTGCTTGGTGTCTGAGGTCTTTGTACCTCCTTTGAGCATCCCTGCTCTCCGGGGAGGCTGATGCTGCTCATCTCCGTCATGCTTGCAGTAACTGGGTCGGGCTCTCGCATGACACGAGATGCTGCTGCCAAGAGGGAAGAAAAGGAGCACGAACATTGCAAGAGCCAGGGAGTGGCTTCTAAGGTGGAGGCTAGGTCCTCCAGTCTCTGCCACGCTGCCTCCCTGCCCTGGCTGTCCCTGCTGCTTTGCTGCCCTTGTGCACGTGCCCTGCAGGGCCCTGCCATGTGAAGAGTTGCCAGCTGGTGCTGAGAACCTGACTTCTGCCAAAGGGCTAGAGTAGGGGTGGTAAAGCAGTGCCCACTTCTTCCTGCCTGGGCCCACAGTGCATCCACACGCTAATGAGCATGGTGTAGAGAGCAGCAGCTTCTGCTCCTCCTGTCCCGGTGGGTACATAGGGCAGAGCTGGAGCAAAGGCAGCCTGCATGCAGGGACCTGGCCGTTGCTTTTGGAGCAGAGGGGAGAGCAGGGGTGTGTCCTGCGGGAGCTGTACCCCGCTGCTGGTATCCCAGCTCTTCTCCTCGCCCTGGGTCTTGGCAGCATGATGCCTCCATTTCACAGGGCTCCCATGCAGGCTTCACTAGAGACCCTCCCCTGGGAAGAACAGAGCCCCCGGTGCTGGGGACTGATGCACAGCTCCTAGCCATGGGCCTGGCTGAGTAGGAGTCCTGGGAGCTGCATTTTTCTGGGGGAAGAGGGCAGCTTCCTCTTAACACGCAAGGGCTCCTGCTTGATCCTGCAGGGACGCTCCCCAGCGGGAGGATTTATGGTCCCAGGCCTCGTCCGTGCTGGAACGTGCCTCCTGCATCATTTTCCCTCCGCGTGAAACCAGCGCTTTGCAGATGAAGAGAGCGGGTGACGCTTTGAACGCACCTTCCCGCTTGCAGCTGGTGCGCAAGGACCCGGGAGCTCCGGGTCGGTCTCTTCCCGCCGCCCTACGGCTCTGCAGGGTTAAAAGAGCTCCTTTCATTGCCTCTTCTCCCACTTGCTACAACCGCGCGCCGGCTCCGGCGTCCTTGCAGCGCCGAGGGTGGGTCTCGGGCCTGCGCCCCGGGCTGCGCTGTCGGCGTTCGCGGGCCCGCAGCAGGCCGTCGCCCCGCCTGAACCCCGGGCTCTCCGCCCCGTCCTTCAACCAGAAC